GATTTAAAAAGGTGTAGTTCATTTTCCTTGTTTAAAAACATGTTTAAAAATAGAGTAATAGAAAAATATATAAATCAAGAATGAAAAGAGCAAAAAGGAGAAAAAAAACAACCTCTTGATTCTTTTGCTTTGATGTAGTTACTTATCTAAGGTGGAAAGTTTTTTTTTTTGTTTTGTTTGGTTTTTTTTTTTGTTTGGTTTTTGCTTTGTTTTATTATTTTCTTCAAGCCCTGTGTACAGGAGCTGCATACAAAAAGATATTTTGTGAAAAGGGTTGGCGTAATAAGCAAATGCTTCAGCCAATACCTTTTGATTAGCCTTGTCTCATGCTTTCTTTCTTTATGGTAGATTTTTGTTCTGTTTTCACTGGGGTTTTTTTGGGTTTTTTTCACTGTTTTCACTGAGATTTGAATTTGAATGCTAATCAATAAAATCAAAATCAAAAATCAAAAAGGTCAGAGGTGAATTCAGGTTTTTATGTATGTTCATAAGTCTTGTTTCATTATTATTGTGTTTCCTGGTGTAATTTCAAATGAGCCCTGCAGACTGGCCACATGTGCAGTGTGTGTCCAGAAAAGGATGGATGGAGAATTTCATGCAGTCCTTGTTGGAGCGATTTGTTCTTTATTTTTAATTAAGTTTGTTGTTGGTTTACTTATATTTTTTGTTATTTACAAGTTTTATTTGTAGGTTAATACTTGTTTAATTTTTTTGCTTTGATTTGTTGCTTATCTTAAGTCAGTCAGGAAGAACTGTGGGGCCATTTTTTCTAAAAAAAATAAAGGGACTGGTATAGGACCAGCATGCACTGGGGAGGGCCAATGGTTTTTTTAGTTTTTTTTTTTTTTTTACCAAAACAGGAGAAGCAGCAGTAAGCAACAGAAATGGATCTTTGTTATTGTTTGCCAAACTGGATAAATAAACCATAAAACGCAACTTTCAGGTTTTGGACATTTGACTTCTTTTGCCTGCATACAAAATACCACCACAGTGCAGCAGTGGCTTGTAGATTTTAAATTGTTGGATGTTTGGTTGGACAAACAAAGGAATCACCACTACAGTCCCATTGGAGGGAGGTTTTCAAGAAAGCAAAGAGAAAATAGATTTTAGTGTCTGAACTGAGTGTTTAAGTAGGAAAAGTGACAGTAGAAAGCATAAAAATGACATGAGTCCATCTTTTGAATTAAAGGATCATTTATATGGCTGAAAGTGGCATCACTTTAGCTGCACAGTTCTGTACATGTGGCATTAAATACAGTCAGTCAGGTCAGGTGATGTTTAATCAATTAAAGATGTTTAATCAATATTTGATCCATTTAAAATTAAATAGCTTTGGAAAAAACTAAGCAAAATTATTTCATTGTTGTATGTCTTAAATGTCACAGTTTGAAGCATTAACCTTTTATTTGAATTGAAAACATCAGGTTCCAAGTAGATTTCTTAATTTAACCATTATTACTGGTTGTTTGAGAACAGAGTGGGAGAGAAACTGGATTTTTATTCACTAAAAGAATTAATTATCTTCTCTGATAAAGCAAAGAGCCGCAGATCGATCTTTCTGAGAGTCAGCACACAGGTAAAAAGCTGCTTTGAAAACATCTCTACTATTATTATTATTATCAGTTTACGCACCACGCGCATTACGGCATGACGTCAGCAGGCGGCGGCAGAACCCTCGCGTTTGAACCACAGCGGTGCAGCTGTGCGGTCTGTCGGCTTATCGAGCTCGTGTTTGGGTGCGTTGCCGCTTCAGCTGAGCCTCCACAGTTGGAGACGCTCTTCGGGAACAAACAGCCGGCGGAGACTCGGAGGTCTGAGTTTCTTCGGAGTTTCTTTATTTTTGTCGTTAAGGCTAACGTCGTTAGCTTATGCCTGCGTCGTTACCATGGTGACGCTCCGAGGCAGAGGGGACGCGGACCGGAGAAACGGGCCGAGCACGAGCACCGGGACCCCGGCACGATCTGAGATAAAGACCCGGAGGAGGAAGAACGCTCCCCGGACTCAAGAGTCCGGACGGTCCGATGTGAGTGTGTCCGTGTTCGGTGTGTAAG